CGGCAGACCAGCACGCGCATGACCGAGACCCCAGCGATGACGGTCCCCGACCTTATCAGAGGCCGACTGCTCCTCGCGACGTGACTTCAGTGCCATTTAGAAAGTCCAGGCAACAGAAAGCAGCCAGAGGAATGACCACATGGCTTTTCACACAGAACTAAGCGAAGGACACAGCCGGGTGCTGGCCTATGGACCAGGAGGGCATGTTCGGTCCCGGTCAGGGCAGGTGCCCGGTTTCAGGCTCCACCCCAGCCCTGGTGGGGGCACATCCAGGAGGCAGCCAACCAGCGTGACTCTCTCACATCGATGTCCCCCCCCCCTCTCTAAAAATCAATGGAACAAATACCCCCGGGTGAGGATTGACAACAACAAAAATAGTGCCAAGGACTGAAGGTGACGACCTCACGGCGAAAACAAGTGCTTGGGAGGCGTCGCTGCACGTGCGGAGGGCACATCCTGGCCGCGACGCAGGAAAGCTCGGGCGTGCGGAGTGCCTCCCACTCCCGCCTGCGTCTGCGTCGCGTCCGTGTCTTTATAAAGACCTGGACCCCGGCCCCACAAACGAGGAGGTGCTGGGGCCGTCCCTCCAAAATCAAGGCTCCAACAAGGGCGCCCACAGCTCCAGCGGCACAGGAAGGGGCCGCGGCGAGGGCCGGAGCGTGCGACGCTATCTGCATGCGATGCGGTCACTGACGGAGAAACGAGAAGACCACGCACACAAGTCTTCAGAAGCAACAGCCTTGGGGACGGCGGAGGCAGAGAAAATCAACGGGCAGGGTGTCCCCCAAATGTGTACACACTTCGAATGCTCATAAAGTCAGCGTTTATTAACATACAGCTCATTTTCAAAATGTAAAAGCATCTCCAGAAATGAATAATTGTTTGGGGCCAACACCTGTTTTCAAACTGATGACCCGCGGCCCAGGCGCTGCTGGTGACGCGAAGCCGTGGAACCAAAACATCAAGAATCGTTTCGCTCAGAATCCGTGCGCCCTCCATGCGTCAACTGTTGCCCGTTTGTATCATAAACTTTATCTGTTCTGTGTCCCCATAAAAAAGACAGTGGATACATTTTCTTTGGCTTCACCCATTATTTCAAATCAGTTAAACCTGAAAAGGAGTGAAAAGTAAGTGAGTTACCAGCTGTTAAAAGTGTGTGCACTACCCGGGCCAGTTGCTCAGCGGTTAGAGCGTCGGCCCGCGGACTGAAGGGTTCGGGTTTGATTCTTGGTCAAGGGCGTGTACCTGAGTTAAGGCCTGATTCCAGCCCAGGTTGGGGCACGTGCAGGAGGCAGCCGATCGATGTGTCCCTCTCACATCGATGTTTCTCTCTCTCCTCCCTCCCTTTCACTCTCTCTAAGAATCAATGGAAAAAATATCCTTGGGTGAGGATTAACAACAACAACAAGTGTGTATACATCTTTTTGTCCCCCAAAATACACACTTTGAATAATTATAAAGGCAGCGTTTGTACTTCAACTGTGTTTTCAAATCCCCGGTAGTATTTTAGGATGAATTTCCTTTGTTCATAGCTTAGCTGGGCTAGAAAGAAAGAAACATCAGCTGAGCTGATACAGGGTGTGTACATCAAGCATGTCAAACTCGCGGCCCGTGGGCCACATGTGGCCCACAACGAATGTTTTTGCGACCCAGACAATATAATGGCATGTAAGAAACATCTTAATAAAAATTTCGTAAC